GTCACCCCTTTGCTCGGTGGAGACCTGTGTGTTGTGGTGAGGTCTCCCCCATTCCCGGGGGGCACCTGTGCCCGCCAGTCACCACCCGAGGCCCACTGGTCACTAATGTGCCCCCAGGAGCGCAGGGGTGCAGGCTGGGAGGTGGGGTACAGTTGCAGGGGGGGTGCAGCGGGGAAGAGAGGGGAGAGGCAGGGAGAGGCAGGGTGCTGGGGCAGCCCGGCAGCTCCTCCAGGAATGGGGGACCCCAGGTGGGCGGTGGGCCTGGCCTGCTGCTGGGCGAGGTGCTGGAGCCGTGGTGGGTGGGGAGTGTCCCCCAAGGGCTCCGGAAGCCCGAAGTCGGGCTGGACAGACAGGCCGTGTTTGCGCGTTGCCAGGCGGCGGGCGCCCCGCCAGGCCCCTATCAGCAGCCCTGTTTGGGGGTTGCCATGGCAGCGCTGTTTGTTGTGATGTTACCACGCGTTACAGTTTAAACAAGTCTGCAGGCCCCAGCCGGCCCCTCCCCCTCCCCCACGGGGGGCGCTTCTGGGCGCAGGGGTCCCAGCCACCTGGGCTCTGCACCCTGTGTGGCAGAGGGGGCCCCCCTGGGCCCGGCTCCAGGTGTGGGGAAGGGGCCGTGGGGTGCAGTCTGCTCGCAGGCCGGCAGAGGACCCGTCGGGGAGGGGCTGTGTGGGGGAGCCCCCAAAGTGAGGGTGCGGTCAGCGCCCAGGGCCTGGGCCGCGGCCTGCAGGCCTTTGCTCGCTGGCGCCCCTGGTGTGTCGGGCAGCAGCCACTCGGGCGGTGGGGAGCCGGCTTCTCGCGCTGGCCGCTGGCCTCTGGCGGGTGGGCCCAGGTGCCCGCGTGGGCAGCAGCTGGCGCATACGGCAGTCGCGTCCAAGCCCACCCCGTGGCCTGTGTACCCGGGGCCCGCAGGGGCGAGGGCCGGTGGTGGGCAGGACTGCGGGCAGCATCCCTGTTGCTCCCTAGTGCACTGGAGGGTGTCAGCACCAGGCTCGGGGGGCCCCCCTGCCGGGCCCCGCGAGACCGTGTCTCGGGGAGGGCCCGGGTCAGCGGCGCCGAGCTGGAGGGGCAGGGAGCCGCCTCATCAGAGCAGGTGTCCCGGGCAGAGGCCGTCATTGTCATCTAGAGCCGGGACTGCCCTCCACAGCCAGGCGCCCGGCGGTCACAGGGGGACACTCGGGGACACCCAGCCAGGCAGGGCCAGCCCCATCTGAACGTGGCCTCTGCCAGGCCTGTCCCCTCCCCCGGCGGAGTGACTCACGCTGGTGGCGCCTGGTGCCCGGCAGCTGGGCCAGGCTGGCCACCAGGGTGGGCATCCACATGCGCCAGGCCGGGCCGTGGACAGGGACAGAGTGCCTTTGACAGCCTGGTGGACAGGGGCCCGAGCGGTGGGCTGGGCCTGGCGGGGCTCCTAGGGCACAGAGCCTGCGTCCAGACACCTGGTGGTGACCGGTGGGCCCAGCCCACCCTGGCTGGGGGCACCTGAGCTCGGGCAGAGCCGCGTGGCCACCGGCGAGCGGCCTGCGGTGGTGCTGTGGGGGTGGACAGTGCCTCACTTGTCTGCTCCTCGCGGTCCTCAGGGCCTCTCTGGGCGCGTCCGCTGCCCGCTGCCCT